AGAATCTTTGTCTTCTTGCAGCATTATTTACCTTCGCAAGAACATGAAACAGCCCAAATGTCCAACCACAAATGCATGGTACATTGACACAATGGAATACGATGCAGTACACAGGAGCAATTATTTTGTAAATTATTACCTAACTTGGGAGGGATTGGAAAGCATTATGCTGAGTGAACTAATTCAGTTCCACAAGGATAAATATTGCTTAAGACTGTTATTGTGTAATGAGTGTAAGGATCCAGGAGGGGTGAGAGAGGCTGGAAGCAGAGGGATGTAGATGTGCAAGGGGAAGAGAGGATTAACCATTGGGTTGTACAATTTGATGAGTAAGGGGGTAAGGAAAATTGAAACAATTTGTTTAAATTTGTATTAGAATTTTGTAAATATACTAAAGAACCCTCCCCCCATTATTGTAGAATGAATATGAGGATCATAGGCATAGGGGAGAGTGGAAATAGAGGGGTGAGGATGTAGGATGTTAATCACAGGGTTGCACAATTTGATGTGTGGATGAGGTAAAAGAGATGGGAAGGATCTTTTATGGAAAAAAAACAATGCATTCAAACTTTGTAAATAAATCAGAATAAAATAAAGAAAAAACCAACCAACCAAACAAAAAAACAGTCTTATGTAAGGAAATTTGTTTGACCAATGGATTGTAAGAAGTCCATATTTATTTCATGTCTTTTGCCCATTTGGTAATTGGACTATTCAGTCTCTTTCTTGGAGTTGCCCAGTAGTATTCTGTAAACTTGTTATGAAACCCTTGACTGAGATGATATTGCCAAATGTTTTTTCCCAGTCAGCAGGTTTTCCTTTTACCCTGTTGCCATAAGTTTATGATAACCACAGATAATCTTTAGAAGGTCCCTTTCATCAATTTTATTCTTTCCAGTTGTGCATTTCTAGATGTATTGGTCAGCTTCTTTCTACAACAGACTAAGCCTACTAAATTGGCCACAATTTGTCTCTTATGAACTTTATGGTTTGGGGCTTTACTCCTAGGTCTCAGTTCCATCTTGAGTTGTTGGTTTTTGTTTGTTTGTTTGGTTGGTTTTTGGTTTTTTTTTTTTGTATGGTGTAAGATGTGGAACCTATTTCAGCATCCTGCAGGTAGCAGTCCAGTTATGCCAGAGCCATTTGCTGAAGGGGTTGTCATTTCTCAATTAGATAGATTTTGTTTCTTCTTGAATATCAGTTGACCATAAATATAGAGGTCTATTTCTGGTTTCTCCATTTTGTTCCATTTTTCTATGCGCCTGTCATTGTATGAGTATCATGCTGTTTTGGTTATTACTGCCGTGTAGGAGATTTTGAAGTCAGGGAGTGGTTTGACTCCCATTTCATATTGTTTTTCTAAGTGCTTTGCTTATTCAGGGTCTGTTTGCTTTCCAAATAAACTCAACTAATTCCCCTCTCAGTATCCTTGAAAAATTAATTTGATATCTGTATTGGAATTGTATTGAAAATATAGATTGCTTCTGATAGGATTATCATTTTCACTATATTGAGTTATCCTAAGTATGAATAGGGAACACTTTGCCATTTATTGAGATTTTTTATTTTGCTTCTCAGGAATGATCTGTAGCTTTCTTTGTACAGATATTTTGTGTTACCAGTTAAGTTCATTCCCAAGTATCTCAATATGTGCTTGGCTATTGTAAATGATATTTCTTTCTTGGTTTTCTTCTCTGAATTTTTTTTGTTATTGTTAATATAGAGGAATTCCACTGATCTTGTATCCGGCCACCCTACCAAAGTGCTCTACTAGCTCTAATAGGGTTTTTGTTTTGGGGTTTTTTTTTAGTCTTTTGGATTTTTCTGTGTACACTAGCATATCGTCTGCATATTGTGATATGTTTGTCTGGTTCCTATTTGCAATAAAAATGATTTTAGATGTTCTACACTGAGAATAAAATTTGCTCTTGGGTTTGCATATATACTTTTCACTAAATTGAGGAAATTCTCATCTATTTCAATTTTGCTGAGTTTCATCATCAGCAATGGTTGTTGGATTTTGTCAAACACCTTTTCTGCTTCAACTGCCAGGATCATATGGATCTTGGGTTTGTTTTTTTTTTCTAATGTTGTGAATTATGTTGTTTTCTCTAGGTTGAGCCATCTTTGCATACCTGTCATGAATCCCACTTGGTCATGATGAATTATATTTTTATGTGCTTTTGTAGTCCATTGACCAGGATGTTTTTCATGAGAGATTTTGGTCTCTAGTTTGCTTTTTTAGTAACATTTTTGTCTCACTTTGATATAAGTGTAATGCTTGCTTCATAGAATATCTCAAGGAGTGTCCCTTGTTTTTATATTTTAAAAAATAATTAAAATAGAATTGGTGATAAATTTTCTGTGAATGTTTGGTAGAATTCAGCCATTTAGTCCAAGACTTTTTGTGTGTAGTGAAGGGGAGTCTTTTTATTACCTTCTTAGTTTCTTCTTTTGTGATGGATCTGTTCAAGTGTTCTACATCTGTCCATGCCAATCTGGGTAGGGCTTGAATTACAAGGAATTTGACCATTTCCTCTATGTTCCATATTCTTATCATTTCTTTTCTTCTGGAGACTTTGGGTTATATTGTTGTTTTGTTTCTATTTAATGAAGGTGTTTAGTTAGATTCTTAATTTGTTTTTTTTTTTTTTCTTTTCTTCATTTTTATGTGTTTCCCTACTGCTACTAAACATCCCCTAAGAATTGCCTTCGGCCCGCGCCCACCACCCCAGCGGGCGACGTGGCTGCGAGGCCGGGCCGCCCTCCGCAGGCCGGGGGTCCAATGAGCCCGAGAGCGGGGGCTGCACGCAGCTCCCAGCACTGGCCCGGGGAGCGCCCCTCTGCTCGGGCTGGGGCGGGTCTGGCCGGCGGGTTGCCTTTCCCCTCCCCAGCGCTGGCCATAGCCCCGCCGACGTCAGTGTCATAGCGCTCAGACCCCCATTGTCAGCCGCCTCCACCTACACTTTGCTCAGGGCCCCCCTCTCCAGTGGATGATGGCGCGAGGCGGCCATGATCGAAGCCTGGGGCTTGGCTTGGCGCTGCTGCTGGCATTGGCGCTGGCGCCCAGGACCCCGAGAGCCAAGCGCACGGTGCGCAAGGAGCGCGTGGTGCGCCCGGCCACCCGAGGACAACCAGAGCTTCCAGTACAACTACGAGGCCTTCCTGGGCAAGGAGGACTCCAAAACCTTCGATCAGCTCACACCAAGCGAAAGTCAGGAGAGCCTGGGGAAGATTGTGGATAGAATCGACAGTGATGGGGATGTCTTTGTTACCACGGTGGAGCTGAGAACTTGGATCAAATGGGTGCAGAAGAGATACATCTACGATAGTGTCGCCAAAGTCTGGAAGGATCGAGACAAAGATGACAAAATATCCTGGGAAGAATACAAACAGGCCACGTATGGTTTACTACTTAGGAAACCCGGAAGAATTTAAAGACAGTTCAGATCATCACACCTTTAAGAAGATGCGGCCCCGTGACGAGAGAGGGTTCAAGGCCACAGACCTCAATGGTGACAACATGGCCACTCGGGAGGAGTTCACGGCCTTTCTGCATCCTGAGGAGTTTGAGCATATGAAGGAAATTGTGGTTCTGGAAACTCTGGAAGACATTGACTAGAACGAGGATGGCTTCGTGGATCAGGATGAGTACATTGCTGATATGTTTTCACATGAGGACAATGCCCCTAAGCCAGACTGGATTTTGTCCGAAAGGGAGCAGTTTAATGAATTCCGAGATCTGAACAAAGATGGAAAGTTGGACAAAGATGAGATTCGCCACTGGATCCTCCCTCAAGATTAAAATCACGTGCAGGCGGAAGCCAGGCACTTGGTGATGAGTCCGACGAAAACAAGGAAGAGAAGCTAAGGAAAGAAAGAGGAAATCTTGGAGAACTGGAACATGTTTGTTGACAGCCAAGCTACTAATTGTGGGGAAGATCACACAAAAAATCATGATGAACTTTGACCCACACTTGTCTTATCTGTTCTTGGCTTTCTTGTCTTCAATGGTTGTTGCCCTTATCTCGTTTACACAAATTGTGTCTCCAGAACAAAACAAAAAACAATTTCATTACCTCAAATTGGGGATAAAAATGTGTTTTGCTCTCCTTATTTACCAGAAATAGTCATCACTATTTCTGCCATAAGACTACTGAGGAGGACCTCATGCACTTACTGCAGAGGGTCAAGGACTGCAGCCTTCAGTATGGACTGAGGCTCAATGTCAAGAAG